AAAGCAGCCGATCTTTGATCTTCCCCATCTCGGGCTCGGCCAGCCGAGCGGTCTTGACGATGGCCGGCACCTGCTCCCAGCAGCTTCGGGTGTGTCTTGAGACCAAAAAATCCGAACACACATCCTCCCCCTGCTGATTCGGAGCAACACAGCCTCTCAGCCTCTCCGCTGCCTCTTCAAGGTCTCTGTGGCCTGGCCTCGGTGTCCTTCAGCTTCACGGAAGCCTCGTGGAGGGAGCTGGAGACCATGGAGAGATCCTTTTGGAGACGCACCGCGGCCGGCGACAGGTCGAAGTCCCGCAGAGACTTCACCGCAGCCCGGGGAGAGCCCGAGGCCGCCGAGGCCGGCGCAGCTCCCGAGGCCGGGCTTCGGAGGCCTCTTTTCAGCAGCGCCCGCGTCTCCTCCGGAGGTTTGCCGCCAGAGCTTTCAACACCCCAGGCCAGGCACTCTCCGGTGCCCAGCTGCGCCAGGAAAGCCCAGTTCGTTGTCCAGATGGACTGGATGCCCTTCTCCAGCAGGGCTTGCTCCACGGCTCCGCTGAAGTCGACAGTCAGGCCCCAGGCCAGACACTCACCGGTTCGCAGTTGCACCAGGAAGGCACAGCACGTGTTCCAGACGGATTTGATGCCCTTCTCGAGCTTGGCTTTCTCCGAGTCCGAGAGCTCGCCGCCGCAATTTTCCTTACCCCATGCAAGACACTCTCCGGTGTCCAGCTGCGCCAGGAAGACCCAGAGATTGCTCCAAACGGAGCTGATGCCCGTAGCCAGCTTGGCCAGGTGCGCATCTGGCGCAGCGCCGCCATACTCTGAGTTACCCCACACGAGACATTCCCCCGGTCATCAGCTGCACCAGGAATGCTCCGTTCGTGGTCCAGACGGATTTGATGCCGTGCTCCAGTTTGGCTTTATGCGAATCCGGGATCTCTCCACCATGATCTGAGTGACCCCATGCGAGGCACTCCCCGGTGACCAGCTCTGCCAGAAAAGCTGCTCTCGTGGCCCAGACCCGCTTGAGGCCCTTCTCCAGCTGGGCCTTGTCCGTGTCCGACAGAGAACCGCCCCAACCACCCCAGGCTAAACACTCACCTGTGTCCAGTTGCACCAGGAAGGCACCGCCCGTGCTCCAGACGGATTTGACGCCCTGCCGCAGCTTGGCGACAGCTTCTCCTGACAGACTACCACCAGAATTTGAGTCACCCCATGCGAGGCAGTCCCCACTGTCCAGCTGCACCAAGAAAGCCTGGTCCGTGGTCCAAACGGACGTGATGCCCGTCTCCAGCAGGGCCTTGTGCGCGTCCGAGAGCACGCCGTCCGAGAGCACGCCCCCTTGTCGCCATCACCCCATGCCAGACACTCTCCGGTGTTCAGCTGTGCCAGAAAGGCTGCTTCCGTGGTCCAGACTGATTTGATGCCCCGCTCCAGTTCGGCTTTGAACGAATCCGGGAGTTCGCCGCCATAATTCTTGTCACCCCATGCTCGGCACTCCCCGGTGTCCAGTTGCACCAGGAAAGCTCGCTCTGTGGCCCAAACAGGGCCACACCGGTCATGGGAGAAAAAGCGCCATGGCATCACGGATCTCGCGCAATGCTGAAGCTTTGGCTCCGAAAGGCTCTGGATGGTGATCAAGGCTTCTTATCCCGCTTGCCGCCTGAAGTGCCTATGGAAGATGCTGTTCATCCAACGAGATTCGGCTTCGGCTTGAGGATAAGGTGCATGTCATCGGTGCTTCACTATGTTCTCTCTGTTCCCAGCTCATGGGGTCTTCACTTGGGCTGACCCCGTCAGACAGAAGAAGTTTCTTCCCCTGCTGCCCTCAGCCTTATCGGCCCCCACAGCACACCCCAAATTTCGAGCCCGGTCCCCGAACCCAAGTTCTTTTGGAGAATTGCTAAAATGCTACAGCTCAGCTCCTAGCAAAACGCACTGTACGCAACCACGCACCTGCCGAAGTGGATGTCACCGCAGGCACCTGGTTTCGGCCAACCTTGGGGATGGATGAATGTAAAGAGGGTGTGTGAATGTTATAGCTAAACCCTAGGCCCTAAACCACACATCTTTAACCGGAAGCCCTGAACCTTTACTAATGTAGGGGCGTGATAATTAGAATAAGGTTTTGGGCTCCTTTATAGTAGACTTACAATAAGGAACCTAAGGAATAATATTGGTAATTATTTAGGCTTCTGTAGTAGCCCTTCCGCCCTTTAAAGCCGAAACTCGTCAACCCCAAAAGCCTCAGCCCTAGACCTGTAACTGCACGTTACCTCTGGGAGGTCTTTAAAAAAATCCGCCCACCCTAGAAAGGCCCTCAACCCTAAATCCCGTCTCCTAAACCCTGAACCCTGAGTCCTTCATCGTAGACCCGAAGCCCAGATGAAAAAAGCTCTTGCATCCAAGGTGAAAGGTGCGAAGGGTCAAGGCTTCTGGACTTGGGGCCTGGGGGGTGTATGGGGAGCTCTCCAAATTAGGGTCCCCTTTTTTGGGTCCTTTTTTTATAAGGGTGCCGTACTATATTGGGGGACCTAAACTGGGACCCCTAATTTAGAGAACTACCCATATAAGGTTTAGTGACGCGTGTTACGGTTTAGGGCTTAAGAGATTCGGGTCTAGCGGTTTAGGGTGTAAGGGTGGGAGTGCCTCAGGAAAAACATTGGTAGCTGGATCCTGAAGTCCAGTCACAGCAGCCCAGGAAAACCTCATACCCAGCTTTTGTTGCAGCCTCGGTGTCCCAAGCCGTAAACCCTAAATCCCTAAACCCCAAAACCCCATACCCCCCAAACACCCCTCAGCCCCCGGAACCCTAACAATCTCAACCCCCCCCCCAAAAAAAACTCTACGCCTGGCGCAGCCCCTGAGGCTTTGACACGGCCGCTCCTGCCGGGGTGGGCTTGCTCCCCCCAGCAGGGACTTCCGGGTTCCCTGTAATAGGCTTTAGGGTTTAGCTCCTTTTTGAGACTTCCAAGGCTCTTCGGAGGGTTCCTTGAAAGGCTTCCTGCAAGGGTTCCTGTTTTCCCTTCAGGGTTTTCCTGGTGTGTTGAGGGCAGGGGCGTCCGGGTTTCAGGACTTAGAGACCCCAAACCCCCTAAGGAAGAAACCCCCAAGGGCTGGAACCCAAGCCCCCCTCCAAAACCCTCTTAAACCTCGATAGAAACCCTAATCCCTAAACCCGAAACCGTCATAAACCTCGACAGACTAGCATACAACACACATTCCCAGACAAAATCCTTTCCCCCCCCCTTCAGGGGTTTTAGGCTTTGGGGCCCAGCTGTAATTGCTAAAACTTCTATATCACGGCTCCAGGACGTCACGGCTTCCTTTGGGAACAAAATTTAGGTGGCCATAACGGTAGCGATACGTCGTAGGAATACTCTGCCTTAGCTTAACTTATTAATTTCTGAGCACCCAATCTCACCCCACACAACCCTCGAAAACAACCTTACAAGACTCTTGAAGAGAACCCCTTTTAAACCCAGCCTACACTAATCCCAAGTTCCTAAACGCGTAACAAGGGCTTTACAAGGGGATATGCAGGGCTTTGCAGGTGTTCTAGTTTTCTAGGGCTTCTTGTTCTTCTAAGGTTTTCTCATGTCGACCCTCGACTGAAAGCTTCCTCTAAGCGCCTCTATGTTTGGATCTTTTTAGGGCTTAGGGCTTGGGCTTTAAGGTTTAGGGTTGAGGGGTTCGGTCTACACTACGGTTTTGGGAGCCCAGCGAAGCCCACGAACAACGGGATGTTGAAAGCTGAAGGCAGCATAGAGAACCCCGAATGGAGCTGAGGGATACTGTTGTGCGTAACAGCATAACTTTTAGGGACCATAAAGGAACACTTAAGCACGAGTTGTTCAAGCACCCATCTGAAACCCGTTAGGCTTCCGCTGCGTCGGCTTCCCTAGGTTGCAGGGGCGCTGGAGCCAAGGGGCCTTGGGGTTCGGCTGCTCATGCTTGCTGTTGCAATGCTTACTATTGCTCTAGGAACTACGCTCTAGGAACTACCATCTGGCTAATGCAACATGTGCTACTGCTCTACGGTAGCTCTTACTATCCCTAGCAAGGTTCGTCTGATTCTGATGCCGATGCTTCTCATGATCCTGCTGGCTGCGCCGGAGGGAGTCGCACACTTTTCGCTCAGGCTCGGGCGCCTCGGACCTGAAGCCTTCGGCAGTCGCCTGCTTTGAGCTCCGGGATGCCCAGCAGGCTTTGGTCCAGGGTTGAGCGTTTAAGGATTCAGGGCCTCCTGCGTTACCGGGAGATCCCGCCGCGGAGATCCAAGTTTGGCTTTTTGCTTTGCTGCATGAGTGCGAGCCCATACCCAACTGATGAATTAAATACTCGTGATTGAGCTTGTAGTCCTTTTCGGGTGGCAGTTGGGGGTAATATGTCTCGGTTCTGCAGATCCCATAATCCCTACAGCCTGAAACCCTTGAGGATGACGGATTTCGGATACCACTCGAAACCCCTAGGAGTCATCAGCGTGCAAGTACTGAAGACATAAGGACCCGGAAAAAAGTTAGTAAAAAAGTTTCAGCAGACTTTCACATGGTAGGTGAAGAGGTTTCGATGGCGGAGAGGCCGGGATCTCCCTGGACGCCCGGCGCTTTGCGCACCCGAGGATGCTCTCCGAATCGCTTTGTGGACTCGAAGACGCACCCTGGGCTTCAAGCACCAGGCTGCTCTCTTGTCGAAAATAGGGGCCTGAACAACTAGAGGACGGTTGTTGGTCTGGAGTTATAATGAAGAACCATAAGGAGAAATATTGGTAGGGATTCAGCTATAATTATGCTGCTATACGGGTTCTATCATGAAGGGTCCTTAATAGACGGTTAGGGTTTCGGGGGGTATGCTGTATAGCAGAAGATGGCAATCATAAAGACCCGGAACCCTAAACCCCTAAAACCCTAATGGCTGACCTAAACCCTAATCCCTAAACCCCTAAACCCTAAACCATAAACCCCTGAACCCTCAACCCCTAAACCCTAAACCATGGTTGGGTAACTCCTCCCTAATTTAGTCCTCTGTCGGCCCCTGGTCACGCAAGGCCCGACGGTGCAGGCGTTGCAAGTAAGCCATGCTCACCGAGATCATCTCCTTGTCCTTGAGGGGTTAGGATTTACGGTTTAACGGTTCAGGGTGTCTTTTTTCAGTTTAGGGTTTAGGATGTGCGGCTTAGGGGGTTGAATAACTTTGAGGCCTGGGATGTTGGAGTCTATTTCAGGCTTAGGGGGTAGGGTTTAGTTTTGGAGTGATACAGGCTTTTGGGGCGTTGCGTCGTCTGCCTTTGTTGAAAGCTCTTTTCCTCTCGCATCGGTCGGCATGACCCACAAACCGATCCCAAGCTCCACCTTAGACCACGGACCCCACCCTTAAAGGCTGTTTTAGGGTTTTGGTGTTCCGGAATCAAGGCCCAAAGCCAAACACAGTTGCATGTTGAGACCTGGGAAGTTGAAGCTACAGCTGCTGTCCGCTGACGGCCTTTGAAAAAAGAAAGCTACACAATGCTACACGCCTGCGCACATCCATCCATCCACACACATGCTTGCATACATGCATACATGCATAATTGCACACATGCATACAGATGATACATGACGTATCTCTGCAGACCCTAGTCCCGCCTGTTTCGTCGAACCACTAGAACACAAGGAATGGGAAGGCTTCATTCCCCCCCCCCCACTTCCCAAGCTGCAACTACCTCAACCGCGACAAGCCTCACAGCTTAAGCCCTAAACCCTCCCGAGCCTAAGCCCCCTAAACCCTGGAGCCTAAATCCCAAAACATTCCTAAACCCTAAACCCTAAAGCCTGAACCCTAAAACCCTAAACACCTGAAGCCGCCTCAAACCCTAAACTTCACGATCCAAGCCGTCCTCGGCCCTCTGCTTCGGCACCGGCGGGAAAGCGGAGTCCTCTATCCTGGGTTCATTCAAGTCACCCTACAAAGGAAACCCTACCTACTAGTTTATATACAAGTCCCTGCTACCTTACCAAGGGAAACCCTACTGGTTTTTTTAGATCTCTGCTGCCTTATTAAAACCCGACTAGTTCATATAGATCCCTGTAAACCATTATTACGGCAAGAGAAAATAAAGTTCCTCAACAAGAGCCCAGTATCCGCAGGTCCTCGTCGCTGTGGGGACGCTGCCAGGAGGGGAGCTGGGTGCGGAACTCTTCGATAAAGCTCCGCTCGAAGTCATTGCCGGGATCTACCTGGGCTATCGAGGAACACAGCATACTCACTAGTATTTATTCTCCTTGAGAAGAAACGACTTTCTACGAAAAACGGTGAGTTCTTTGTCCGAAATTAGGCCCAGGCACCTTCTCCGGAGCTTCCGTGGGGCTTTGCCACTGCAGCTCCAGATCACAGAGGCTGAAGACGCGCACGCCCAGCAGGAAGCCGGGCTTGCACTGCGGATGGTAGTTGATGTTGATGGTCCAGTCGCCGCCGCTGAGCTCATACTCATTGTGCACGTTCGGGGACAGGAAGACTCTTTTTCCGCCCTTGGAGGGGCATTGCATCGGCTCGACCTCGACTTTTCCGTCGGGCGGAAAGGCCTGCAGCATCATGTACGCCGGTGACTCCTCATCCGCACATGTGGTCACCATTATTTTCACTGGATGTCGGGGCTTCTGGGAAGCCTCTGACTCCGAAGATGATCCGTCTTTCAGCTGCAGCTTCAGCTTCGAGGCCTTCGTGTCCTGAACCCGGAGCAGCTTCGAGGAGGCCACGCGCCACTCGTTGCTGCAGCGGACCGGCTGCATCTCCAGCTCGCAGTCAGAGAGCACCAAGAGCCGAAACGACTGGAATTCCGCCTTGTCCTGCAACTGCTTCTGTGTGTGACCCCAGCACCGACCTATCACCAGGCTGTGGGTGCTGCAGGGTGGCAGCTGTGCTCCCAAGGCCACCCACTCATTGGAGGCTTTCCGGTTCTTGGCTACAGCTGTGCCTCCACCCACGTAGCGTTGAATCGGGTGCTTGCCAGTCTCGAAAAGCTGTATGTCAAGCAAGGGGTACGAAGCACCTGGGCAGGATGCGTCGAGATTCTCCTCATCGTCTTCCTCGTGCCATTTGTGTTTGTTCACATGCTGCGCATCCTTCGAAGTGAAGGAGAGGATGAAGCAGACGCTGGCCGGGGAGGTTGCCGCGTTTGTTAGGATCAGCTGCGGGAAAACCTGCTGCAGATCGATCATGGCTTGAGCAGATCCTGGTATCGAGCTGCGCCATTGCCCTGCAAAGCTGCGCCTCTGCCAACCTTCTGTGGCAAGAGGCACGAGCTCGAGCTGCGCATCCGCACAAACGCTGACCACGTATCGCTTCTCTTGCAGAGCAGTTCCCATAGACAGCATGAGTATATGAGAATCGTCAGTGTCCAGCTCCTCCACGTGCTGTGCCGTAACATCTTCGGACATGAACGGAGCAGCGCTCTGTAAACCTTGCCAGAAGAGCCTGGGTCCCGAGCATTTCGGGGAACAAAAGCTTTTCTCGGAACAACAAAAAATAGTGTGGGGCGTGAATTTCCTTAGCGATCTCAGTGTATAGAGCCCCCAAAAACACCTAAAGTCGCGATAGCACGTTCATTCATCACGAAGAAGTTCCCAGCCCAGAACCCCACAGACTGCAACTCAAAGATGAAGTCACCCACAAACCCGTTCCTTGAACTCGGAACAAACACCGAAACCCGGGTGTTCGGCTGAAGGGGTTAAGACGAAACCTGGGTGTAGGCTTTAGCGCTAAGGGACTAAGATTTCAACGAAACCCGGATGTAGGGCCTTCCGCTTTAGGGTTTAGATCCCTCAGCCACCCACCACACATTCAAAAACCCATCCAACACCCAGCGCCCGGCAACGGTGAGTTGAAGCCTCGGTCCACCAGGTCCTCCAAGAACTTGGCCTCTTCGCGGGGTGCAGCTGCTGTCTTCCCTCTCTCCCACTGTCTACAGGAGCTTAGGAGTGCTCTGAGTCCGCCCAAAGTCCTGCATGCTTGCGTTCCTTATGTTGACATACACACACACACATAGGATACTGTTGACAGACACATACATCACTACATCACATATGTGTATCTAGAAACAGACAGAGATACAAAAAGATACAAATCTAGAAATAGATATAGAAACAGATGTAGCCATGTAGACATATACGTATATAGATATGTAGCAAAGTAGATATGTAGATATAGCGATTTAGATGGAGATAGCGATAGAGATCGAGAGATGGGGAGAGATAGAGAGACAGAGATATACAGATATACAGATAAACAGAAAGGCGGATATGCAAATAAACAAGATAGATAGATAGATAGATAGACAGATAGATAGATAGATAGATATAACACTAGGCTGGGGGCTGCAGATGGCTCATGCCGTGAGGTGCCTGATCCTTCTCCTCCGCGCCCTCTGCGGAGTGGGCTCGCTTCACCTGAGCACAACGAAGCCCCCGTGCTTTGAGTTTAGGGTTTTAGGGTTTAGGCTTTAGGGCTTTAGGGTTTAGGGTTTTAGGGCCTATGGGTTTTCGAACAATAACAAGGAGAACCCGACACAAACGCACTCTCCGCATGCTCTTCGCAGATGCACACGCACCCACAAACCCCTTCAGTCCTCTGCCTGTCGAACTCCGGAACCGAAGACTGGGTTAATTTAAGTTACCATGATAGGGATCTATGGTAAATAATAGGGTTTCCTTATTATGGTAACTTAAATTAAATCTATGGTAAATAGTCTGGTTTCCTTATTGTGGCAACTTAATTTCAATCCCTGAACAAGAACCTAGAAGACAGGTGAGCCCTCGGTCCCCGTCCCCTTCCGACCCTTACCTGTGCCCTCCGTGAACTTGGGTTCAGGGTTGGGTTCAGTTTTTGTGGACCTTAAGAGCACCGAATCCTACGGTTGATGATGTACATCCTGCATTACCCATTTCTAAGGAATCTACCGTAATTCCCATAGTTTAGGGTCCTCAATGTAATGCAGGATTTGAATCATCAACAGTACCAATGGCTAGAGACTTCCCGAAAGCTCCCAAGAGCTTTCGAAGACAGGTGGCGGTCATGATCCTGGAGACGTGGTAGAGGCTCCGCTGCTGGCTGGGCCCATGCTCCCGCCGAGACTCGGCGTCAGGATCGATGACCTGTGGTTTCAGCTGCTTTTGCGTGCTGTGTCTTTCGGTTTTGACAGATGATTAGTGTAGTGATGAGAGTAGCTCGCTGCATTTCATCTAAGATTTTTCCATGGTGGATAGTGTACTCTATCCACAGCTATCAACGGTGCGGATTCTGTCCGATTGCTGTGGGATATGTTGACACAGCTTTGGATACTCCATCAAGCGGTATCATTTGTTCTTGTTGTGCTACATCGCAGTGTTGCAACTTCCGAGCAAGAATGCTTGGAACAAGAACAACTTCAGCACTACAGCAATAATCGCGGACATGTAGTAGCAAGCAAGCCTAGCAACAGCAAAACTCGCACGTCCTGTGCTGAAACCCCTCAAAATGAAGACAACAAAAAGCCACACCCTAAACCGGAGGACTTAAACGACAACCAAACTGCTCAAGTTTAAAGCTGAAGGCCTGCTTGCAGACCACTTTGGCTGTTCAAGCGCTAAGGAAGGACAGGCTCGCACATGGGGATGTCCGTTGCAAAGCCTAACTTCCGGCCAATGCCAACCTACACCCCGAATAACAACCCCAAACCCAAGACAACGCACCCATAAATTCTCAATCGCAAGCCCCAAACCCTAATACCCCAAGTCTAAACCACCAAAAGCCCTCTGAGCTCCTTATCGTATTATATGCCCAAAAAGCCTATTCTAATTATTAAGGCCCTTTTTATGGGTGGGGTCCCATAAAGGAAAGTGCTAGAAGCCGCTGCCCGAGCCGAGGAGCTGCAACTGCCACGGCCGCCTTCCGGCCGGGTGGAAAGCGCAAGGCGAACATGGGGTTCCTGGTTTAGGGCTTAGGGCTTTTGGGTTTAGGGTTTAGGGTAGAGGCGAACATGGGGTTCCTGGCTTAGGGTTTAGGGTTTTAGGGTTTAGGGTTTAGGGTGGAGGCGAACATGGTGAACATGGGAGTTCCTGGTTTAGGGCTTTAGGGTTTTAGGGTTTTACTGCTTAGGAGAACATGGGGTTCCTGACGAGGTCGGGCTTATGGGTTTAGGGTTCAGGCTCTAAGCTTTAGGGTTTAGGCGTACATGGGGTACCGGACGATGTAAGGCTCAGAGGGATTTAGGAATTTCGAGGGGTTCCTGACCATGTAGGGCTTGGGGGGAGTAGGGGGAGTTATGGCTGTATCGGGAGTAGGGAGCTTGGCAGGGTTCCTGACGGTTTAGGGTTTGGCACTAAGTAAGAAAGTTAGAGGGTTCTTGGGTTAGGGAATTAGAATATGATAAGCTTCAGGGCCTAGGCACTTGGGCTGACGATGACAGGCTTACAGGTTTACTGGGCACGTCGGACAGCAGGGGTGTGACTTGCGGCTCCGGTTTAGTCCTTCGGCTTTCATCTCCAGGCTAGCACAGAGGATTTTACGTGTTGGTGACGAGTCTCGGTTTCCCTACAACAGCCGTGAAAGTCATATGGGCTGGGACAACCCTCGCAACTGGACAACTGGAACAGAGACGACGAACAGCGGCATCAGGGATAGGTTGAAGACGAGGAAGAGGAGGATAAAGTTAAGTTGATGATCACTACAAGTACGCTGTTGATCGGAATGGCGATGGTTAAGTCGATGACGACGACCATGACCATGACCATGCCCCTGACCCGGACCGTGACCCTGACCAGGATTCTGCCGATGAGGCTGACGAGGAGGAGGAGGAGGAAGAGGACGACGAGGAGGCGAAGGAGGAGGACGACGGCGATGACGAACATGGCCACGATGATACTGGCAATGATGACCATGATCATGAGCATAACAAGGACTATGACAGTAGTCGAACATCAAAACGATGTGATCACCGGTTGAAGGTGGAGGGATGATGGCTTAGCTGGGTTGCGCTAGTCAACAAGGGCTCCAGCCCCGCTCTTCTGTGGCTCAAAATGCAGCACCGGCTCATCCACGACAATGAGCATTCGAGCGGGCCGCCAGCCGTCGACGGCTGAGCCGTCCAAGCACCCAACTTCACGTGCCCGAAGCACTGGACGCCAGCCGCTTCATTGTTGAAGGCTATCTCCTGCAGGCTGTCTAAGGCTTAGGCGTGAGGTTGAGGCCTTAGGGATATGATACCAGTTTGTGAGAGTCTACGCCCTTGGCCTAAACCCGCAGCACACCTGAAACTCCCTGGGAATGGATCCCAATGATAGCCCCTTAAGGCCCCCTATAGTAGCCCCAGTAACCCATTCCCCCATTCCTTACTAAGAACCAGGGAGTAAACCGACCCCACCGTCCTTGGCAAAGGACTTGGCGGTGGCATAGGCCATGGCCTCCAACACGATGCGGCCGTGGCTCGGATCTGGTTCCGGCGTGATCTTGCCTTCGGATATAACATGGATATAGCATAATAGTAGTATAATATAATATAGTATAATATACTATAACATAATGTAGCATAATATACTATTATATAATACAATATAATATAAGGGTGCATTGGGCATTGGGGTAAAAGAGAGCAGAAATCAAAAGAAGCCTCTGGCGCATGCTTCAAGCTGCGATGGTATAGGGACTACTATAGTCACTGTCGAGGTTGAGGACTGAATTCCTTGTTGGCTTCAAGGCAAGCAAAAGCACTCCCAAAATGCGGCCCAGCTGCGGTCGTTCAACATCAGCAGGGCCGCGTTCTTCACGTGCCTGGCCACCTCCGCCCCGTCGTTCCGGCCCACCTGCTGCAAAAAGAGCCTCAACCCTGGGCCCTAAACAGTTTAGGCTTCAGGGCTTTGGGTTTACGGCCAGGGGTTTGGGGATTAGGATTTCCCTGAACCCTAAACCCTGAACCCTGGGCCCTAAACGGCTTAGGAAGCTTAGGGCTCAGGGTTTATGATCCTCCCTCCCACCTGCTGCTCCGAGCTCTGGAAATGCCGCGCCGCCGCGAGCAGCTCGGGCACCGCCTCACAGACTCTGCGTCCCAGTCTAGGAGCCTTAGGTTTAGGGTTTAGGGTTTAGTGTTTAGGGCCCTGAGGGTTTAGGGTTTAGGGTCTTAGGGCTCTAAGGGCTTAGGGCCCTCAGGGTTTAGGGTTTGGGGTTTAGGGTTGGAACTACTGGGTTCTTGTTATGTAAGTTACCAAAATAGGAATCTATGGTAAACAATGCGGTTTCCTTATTATGGTAACTTAAGTTAAAGCCCTTAACAAGAACCCAGTCTAGGAGCCTTAAAAGGATCAGAGCAGGGCTCCTTCTGTAAGGCTTGCGATAAGCGTTCTATCGTGGTGTAGAATGAAGGGGCAGTGTGGGAGCCTTAAAGAATCAGAACAGGGTTCCTTCTGTAAGGTTTACCATCAGCTTTATGATGAAGGGTCCATAATGGCTTAATGTGGGGGAAGTGGTGCACAGAATAAGAAAGGCTCCATTAATCAGAACTTCAGGGATCGATCGGGCTTTGGGTGATGTAGGGCTTTGGTATATAGGGGCCTTAAGAATTAGAAGACGGGTGTGGGGTTTATATTTATCTAGTCAGTTACAAGGGACTGGAAGGGAATATTCGTATGACTAATTCATTTCAGACCCTTACATTACTCCGAGGCAACATGATGATCGTGGAGATGCTGACGATGACGACAGTATCATGGCTGTGTCAACGATGAAAGTAGAGAAGTAACACGATGTTGATGGCTGACTTGCGAAAAGAGCTATGACGGTGGACATTACAAACTCCATCTGAATGCACGCAAACTGCCACAGTTTGCTTGCACGGACACCAGCGACCCCTCAGCTCCCTCAAGAGATAGCTAGGCCTAGCTAGAAAGATAGGTAGGTAGATCGATGGGTAGGTAGATAGATAGGTAGACAGACAGGTAGATAGATACATACATTTTTTCATGTAAAGTTATGGGAGCTCTATGTAGCTCTGTAACCTTCTCTATGGGACCTTGCAACCAGAGCTCCTACACCCTTTAAGCGGCCTGAATCTGTTTATGTCTAAGGGTTTAGGGGGTTTAGACTTGCGGTTGAAAAGTGTTGTGTTTAGGGCTTAGGGTTTCGGATTGAGAAGCTGAAAGCCCAAACCCTCAACTCTAAAAATCCCGAAAATCCTAAACCCACAAACCCACAAAAGTCCTAAACCCCAAAGCCCCCGAAACCCCTAAACCTCAAACCCGCCAGAACCCTAAGCTAGGACTCCCAGAAGCCCAAAATGCTAGGATGGAGCACTCGGAAACCCTAAACCCTAAACCCCTGAACCCTAAACCCTAATCAAACCCCTGAACGCTAAACCCTAAACCCCAAACCCTGAACCCTGAACCCTCAACTCTGAAACCCTAAACCCCTAAACCCGAAACCCTAAACCCCTAAAACCCCTACAACCCCGAAAACCCCGAAAACCCCTAAAACCCCTAAAAGCCCAAAAACCCTAAAACCCCTAAAACCCCTATAAACCCCCAAAAAGCCCCTAAACCCGACCTGAAGCTGGTCCAGGCTTCGGCGCATGGCCTGCGCCGAGGCCGAGGAGCCGTAGCCTGGGGTTTTTGTTTTAGGGGGCTTTGGGCTTTAGGGGGTTTAGGGTTTAGGGGTTTAAGGGTTTTGGGGGTTTAGGGGTTTAGGGGATTTAGGCTTTAGGGGCTTTGGGGGTTTGGGGCTTTAGGGGGTTTTGGGGTTGAGGGCTTTGGGGGTTTCTTAATCAGGTGCCTGCAGTATTATGCTAGCTTGCCTTACCTGGAGGTTCATGGGTAGTTATAAGTGGGGTTATGAGTCCCCTAATGTGGCTTACAAGTATAGTTACCCTACTCATACCCCCATTTATAACGACGCATGAACCTCCAAGTATTATGCTAACTTACCTTAGGTCCCTTAAGAAGAGCCGAGTAGCAGAGCCGCTGAAGGCACTGCGCCGCGGCCTGCTCGACGGTTTTTTGGGGTTTAGGGTTCAGCGTTTAGGGGTTCAGGGGTCGAGGGTTGAGGGTTGATGTAGGGTTTAGGGTTTAGGGGCCTTAATAAATCGAAGGGGGACTTAAGGGTCATAGTGGTATAACTATACAAGAACTGCAAGGGGTTGTTCCGACCACGTTTAGGTTGCAACTGCTGGTCTAGCAGCACAACAGCCAACTGTCCTCGTCCTGAAACCGGAACCCTGAACCCTTAAACCTAAACCCTAAACCCCAGACCCTAGACCCTAAACCCTAAATCCTAAGGAACCCTGAACCCCTGAAGCCTGGACCGTCATGCAAACAGCATCACAGGAAGAGAAACCAAACTCACCCGCCTTCTTGAGTCGCGCTGACTGGCCTGGGTTCACAGCACGGTTTACGCCGGTTGTTGAGGGCTCCCGGGTTTAGGGTTTTGAGTTCGGGATTCAGGGTTTAGGGTTAGGGGCTTAGCGCTTCGGGCTTGGAGGGTTGGGGTTGAAGGCTTGGTTCGAGGATGGAGGATTCACGCTTTCGGGCCGAGGGCTTAAGAGTAGGCTTAGGAGGTTTAGGGTTTAGGGTTTAGGTTCTGCTGGACTTTGCACGTGAGTTCTTATCTTCCTGGCTCTTGGGCAGAGAGTGGGGGAAGGGGTTACAGGGACTACCTTAAGGAACTTTGCGGGACTATGAATCATAGGGATCCATTCCCCCATTCCCCAGTAAGAACACCAGGGAGTTGTGTCAGAACCACGAGGTTCAGGGCTTAGGTTTAGAGCTTAGGGGCCCTTATACACTAGAACCCCCATAGGGTTTAGGGTTTAGGGGTCTATACACTAGGATCTTCGAACCCCCATAGAACTCCCCCCATAAAACCCTACAAGTACTAAAGTCACTGGCGCTTGCCGAAAAGTCCCGGCGGCCACTTCGCAGGAGGCTCAGCATCCAGCGCAGAGCGTCGGCCGGTAGTGACACCTCTTGGGACCAACAGTTCTACGGTCGAAGCGTCAGGTGCTGAAGGCGTTTTTAGAAGCCAACATTTCAGACTTAGCATATATACTATAGGGGTTTAGCCGGTTCAAGGCCCAGGGTACCTCTCCAAGTAGGGGCTTTCTGACTAGCCTCAACCCTAAACCCCGAAACCCCTAAACCCTAGACCCTAAACCCTAAAACCCTAAACCCTAAACCCCCTCTGCTACCCAACTTGCCCCGACCTCCTCCACGGCGTCGCTGGCAACTTCTCCCAAGGCGTTCAGGGCCGCAGCAGCCACGGCTTGTGCGCGGTGCTGCGTGAACTGCAGTGCCTGCTTAGGGTCTCAGGGCTTGGGGCTCTTCTGCAAAGGGTTCCTTATATTAAAGCAAAGGCTCCCAAAAACCCTAAACCCCAAACCCTAAATCCCAAACCCCGAACCCTAAACCCTATAACTCTGAACCCTAAACCCTAAACCCCAAAACTTCCTAAACCCTAAACCCTTTAAAAGGGCCCCAGAACAGAATTTGCAGTGCCTTGGAAACCGCGTCTCCTCGCACCAGCAGGCAGCGAGCTTCCTTGTCCTGACAGGAACTTCACCAAAAAGTTGAGAAAAGGGAGCGGGTTTAGGCTTTAGGGCTTTTAGGGTTTAGGGTTTAGGGTTTAGGGTTTTCAGGGTTTTGGGGTTTTCAGGTTTGTTCGGCTTATTGTTTAGGGTTTAGGGTTTCGGCGTTCGGGTTTAGGGTTTAGGTTCTGTTACATTCCCAAGCTCAGAAGCCTCTAATGCAGGATGCATGTTAGTAGATTCGATGACAATAGTGATACAAAAAAACTCCCGCTGCACCTGGGCGACCGCTTCCATCAAATCCATGTACTCCAGAATGCGATTCTCGTCGCTGTTGGCATCCAGAGGAAATCGGATCCCGTTTGTGATGTCGAGAACTTGCTTCACCAAGCGTGGGAGGAGCTCTGGACGATCCTTCCTGCCAACTTTCTCCATGTCCAGTGTGCGGCACAAGCACTGTGCCAAGCGCTGATGATAGAAGGCCTTCTTGGTCCTAGCAGGACAGGCAGGTTTGCCAGTACTTGAGGGGCGAACGCGAAAAGGTGAGGCTCTACCACAACCTCTCCTAAACTCTAAACTCTAAACCCTAAAACCACAGAGCCCTTTCAAGAACCCCCAAAGAACGCTTTAAGCACCCTACTCCAAACCCCGAACCCCAACCTTCACGGAACCCAACAACCCGTTGTAGTAGCCTTATCATCAGCACACCTTGTTGGACCCTTCGAGGACCCTCGACTGGTGTGCAAAACCCTACGCCCTAAACACCTAAACCCCGTAATCCCGCTAAACCCTAAACGTCTACAACCCCCTGAACCCCAACACCCAAGCCCCCACACCCGTACGTGTAGTAACCTAACTCCCTCAACCCTGAAACCCTGAAACCCCAAAGCTTTAAACCCTAAACCCTGAAACCCTTAAACCCCGAAACCCCAGACGATTCCAGGGGTTTGGGCTTCAGGTTTAGTGGGGTTTAGGGAAACCCTTGTAGAAACCCATGAACAAAACCCTGAAAGGCACCCTGAAAGGGAACCCTTCCGGTCCTCTCCATCTTCTCCAAGATCCTCTCCAAGCCGCCGATTTGGTAGAAGCGCTGCTTCCAGGAGGGGTGCGCCATGAGCAGGTGCTGCAAGGTGGAGGTGGACCTCGGCAAGCAGACTACGCTACAGTATCATAGAGTGTGTTTGGTATATTCTAGTTATTCTAGTACAGTATAGCAGAATGTAAGCTAGTATGGTATGTTATTGAAACTATATTATGGTGTGTTGTGTTTCTGCGGTGAGCTTTGCGGAAACCGTACGTCCTGGAACCGCGAACTTCCCAAACCCTGAAGAAGCCTTCAACATAGGGGGCCTTCATGATTAGAATAGGGTTCCTTTAAAGGCCTACCATAAGCGTTATTATAGGGGTTCTACAAGTGTTGAGTGCAGGGGCCTTCATGATTAGAACAAGGTGCTGGGGTACATTATAGTATGCTATTCTAGCCAGGAACCCTAAGGAAGAGTAGTGGTAATTAGTCAAGAAATCTACATTACGCCCCAAGCCAGAAACCTGGCGCCCCTAAACCCTAAACCTTAAACTCGAAACCCCAAGAAAGCGGTATAAAGCTCGGAACCCGTAGACCCCGAGACCTAAACCCCTGAATCCTAAAGCTGACAAAAGCCTTAAACTCACCCCAAACACACTTAATCAACCCTAAACCCTAAACCCTGAGACTTAATCCTCAGATCCCCAAAGCCCTTAAAGCTCCTCAAAGGACATGTTCCCGCCTTTAGGCTTTTGCTTAGGAAGAAAGAGCGCGGCTGAGCAGCCCAGGCAGACGCTCCACCGCTTGCTTCAGCTCGTCGATGCCGAAAGCCGCGAGGTCCTCCAAGAGCTCCTTCTTCACCTGGGAGGGCGGCTGAGGGCTTAGGATTTTGAGGGCTTCACAAGAGTTCTATGAGGGTCCTGCAAAAGAAAAGGTATAGGAGCTCCTTCCTCACATGCTGGGGGGCTTGAGTAAGGCTTCTAAGCGGTAAAGTAGGGTTGATTAGCGCTTTGGGTTTAAGGCATGTCTACGAGCTCCTTCTAAACCAGGGATTGGGGGGGACATTATCAGGCCTTCATGAGAGGGTTCTAGCGTTTAGGGCTTAAACAAAGGGAGTTCCTTTTTGGCACTCCTTTTGGGGCACTGCTGTCAGGGTTTTGGCGATGCTGAACTCCTAAACCTGAAACCCCAAAGCCCCCAAAGCCCCCAAACCCATGAACCCCAGTGGAAGCCTTTACGCTCTAAAAGAACCCATCCAAACCCCTAAGCTCTCTATGCCCCCTATAAATCGCTTAAAAGTCCCCCAAGCCTTACTAAACCCCTGAAATCCCTTCAACTCCCTCTATAAAACCTCTGAGCCCCCTCAGCCCCCGCGACGAGGCCCGGGCGGGCGCATCGTCCCTGGCGCCGGCGAGGTGCAAGTTCGTCTCCAGGAGCCCGATCTCCTCTCCGAGCTCTCGGGGCTCGCAGGAGGGTTTAGGCTTTAGGGTTTAGTTTAGGGTTTAGGGCTTAGGGCTTAGGGCTTAGGGCTTAGGGTTTTAGGTGTTTAGGGGTTTAGGTGTTTAGGGTTTAGGGAACTCTCGGGGCTCTCATGGTGTCTGAAGAGGGCGGTACAATGTACAAGGCCTGACCACCGTTAAGCGCGGCTTCCGCACTGAAGCAAGGTCACCAAAAAGGAAAACTTAAAGCAGCCGCATCCAACACTCCAAAACTCTCAACACTGACGTCGCCAAACCCCGACAGACCTGCAAACCCCACAGCCCCACAGCCCCAAGCCCTAAACCCGAAACCCCCAAACCCTAAACCCCTAAACCCCTAAACCCCTAAACCCAAAACCCCTAACCCTAAACCCCTAAACCCCCTAACAACCCTAACAGCCTAAGAGCCCTAAAACCCTCAAAAGCCGAGAGAGCTCCTCCTGCTTCTTCTGCAGCTTCTGCTGCAGCGCCTCCGGGGCTCAGGGAGCCAAGGCTTCCGGGCTCCAGGGGCCCCGGGGAAAAACCGTGGTCAAAAAGGGAAGCCTTAAAAAAGAAAGGTTTAGGACTTAGGGTTTAGGGGTTTAGGGGTTTAGGGTTTTGGCTTTAGGAAACGTGTACAAAGGAAGCAAACCTAAACCCTAAACCCTGGCCGAACCCTTATACCCTATACCCTAAGCAATCTAAACAAGGGCCCCTACGGTTCATGCCAAAAAATCCTGCATGACCCCATAAAGGGAATATATACCATAATCCCCATAGTTGAGGGTCCTTAAGGTAGTGCAGGATTTACATCATCAACAGAACGAAACGTGTAAGAAAGGAAGCCTTAAAACAAGGAACAGCCCTAAACCCCGAAAACCAAGACCCCAAACCCCAGACCGTAAATCCCAACAGGTCCAAACAACCCGAATGCTTAACCCCAAGATCCTGAACCCTAAGACCCCCAGGCCCTAACCCCAAAAAGCAAAAAAGTCCACGACCCAAAGACCCCAGACCCTAAGATCCTAAATCCGAAAACCTCGCAAAAGAAAGGATTTCAAAAAACAAACGCTACTGTTCAGAACAATCCTTTAAGGCACCCTTACAGAAGCCCTTAAAAGTCTCGGAACCTCTATAGAGAGCCTTGGTAGAACCCGAAACTATGACGGAAACCATAAACACCCCATAGACCCGTACAGCCGCAGCCCCAGTCCAAAAAGGCACCTCTTTCTGCGCGGCCTCCTTGGACAAGTCTGCTCGTTGCTCATTTGACAAGCCTGGCTTCGAGGGTGCTATGAGAACACACCGTAGGGGCTTTATTGGTTAAAAGAAAGTTGGGACGTATATTACTGTAAGCTGCAAGATACAGTTACAACGAGGAGCCCGAAAGAGTCTAAGGCTTTAAGGCCCCTATAGTATACAAAGTGCTTTAAGGACTTCTGGGGTTTGGGACACCGTTGGGGGCTCTGTGAAAGTGTAAGAAAGCTTTACAAGGCCTTTGTCAATGTACTTTAGAGGTTAGTAGGGTCTAGGGCTGACTACTGTGGCGGTTCTGCTCGAAGAAGGGTTTCCCGGCGACTAACGGTCTGGCATTCGAGATTTAAGGCTTTAGGACAGAATTCTGTAGGTGCCCTTGAAGATCTCGCGCTAGGGAGACTTTAAGGGTTCATTACGTGCTTTAGGCGTTTACACCTAACACCCAGAACCCTAAGTCCTAAACCCCAAAACCAGAGCTCTAAACCCCCTTATAGTAGGGGCCTTAATCATTAGAGTAGAGTGTTGGGGTACATCATGCTACAAATATAGCAAGGAGCCCCCCCAAAAGAAATAGTAGAGGTAATTATTGAGGCCCCTCTATGAACTCCGATTAGCAGGCCCAGGCGCCGGCCGAGTCCAGAAGCAAATCCAACGCTGCCACCTGCTGGAGCTCTCGTGAGGAAGGAGACGTGGGAAAGTTACCCTTTTAGGGATCTACAGGAAGAATGTGGCTTCCTTGTAGTAATCACCCTGATCCTTAAAATAATCCTACACCCCTAAGGATAAAAAACACCTCAAACGCATGGCAAGTTAAGTCAAACTCCGACCCTAAACCGTAAACCCTAAACCCTAAAGCCTAAACCTTAAGAAAAGCCGGGCCTGCTGCTGCCGAAGCTGCCGCACCTCTTCGGGCAGCTCCTCAGAGTTCTGCAGCTCCTGGGGGGCGGGGGGGGATTGGGGGGTTCGGCTTCGGGGTTTCGGGTTTAGGGTTTAGGGTTTCGGGTTTAGTTCGGGTTTAGGGTTTAGGGTTTCGGGTTCGGTCGGACGTCGGTCAGCGTCAGCCATCAGGACTTCTGCATGTGAAAGGGCACTAGGCTACTATACCACCTACGGATTGAAAGCGCTTCAACTTGTCTACTGACAACTTAGAGTTTCGGGCTTAGTTTAGGGTTTAGGGCTTCGGGTTGGCGGCTCCTCCTTGCGCTGCAGGAGCCACTGGAAAGACTGGAGCTGTAGCTCGCGCTGGTCTACGGCCTTCTGCACCTCGAGGAGGTGGTCCTGAAGCCGCATGACTCTGGGAATTTTGGGTTTAGGGGTATAGGGCTTTAGGGTTTAGGGTTTAGGACGTTCAGGGTTTAGGTTTTAGGGTGTATGGTACAAGGGGTTTCGGGGTAGGGGGGCCTTAGCAGGCTTTTGGGCTTTAGGGTGCCAGGGCAAAAAAGAGGACTTGGGGCTTAGAAATTCAGGCTCCAGGCTTCCAGTGAAAGCGACGAAAGCGAAGCAACGCAACCCCCCAAGGCCCCAAAAGCCTTTTTTTTAAGGCCCTAACCCGAACCCTAACTAGCTCCTTTAAAGTCCCTGGGGCTCCATGGCCCTTAAAAGTACAGCCCCTGAACCCCCTGAACCATCCCGGGGCCCCTTCCTTGCTACTTTTCGATGGACACGGAAAATCACAATGTTGTTAGGGTTTAGGGTTTAGGGGTTTAGGGTTTAGGGTGCTATCGTTCTTTCTGCAGCTGTGACCGCTGGCACTCGCGTGACTTTGGGATGATTTGCTACCATTGCTACTTGGCATAACGGCATAACATGTATCTTGGACAGTGTGCAACAAAAATGATGCTCAAACTCCCTACTTCTTAGCAGGGAGTTATTATGACTATTTTGACTATGACCATCTATGACCATGATGATTGTCCTTATGGCTATCTCCTATTATGGCTAGCATCCTTACAAATGACTCGCAATCAATCTTATTCCACTTGCCGCCTAAACCCTAAAACCCTAAAACCCCAAAACCCTAAACCCTAAACCACTAACCCCTAAACCCCTAAACCCCTAAACCCTAACACCCTAAAGCCCTAAACTGTTCCAGGGCTGGTGGACTATCCTGACTTCAACGGCACGGAGGGCATCGTCCAAAGGCCAGGGGCTTTTGCCTTGGG